CCCCCCCCCCCGTCGCCCTCCTGCCCCTGCTGCTCTGCTCCCTGTGCAGTGGTGTCAGGTGGGCCACGCCAGGCCTTGTAGCTGCGCTGCCTGTGACTGGCACCAGCTTGTCTCATGGCTTTTCCCTTTTCTTGGAATATTTATTCCCCAAGGGTAACATGCAGCTGGGGCCCAAGTTGGGCTGTTCTGGGCCGCGGAGGGGTCTATCGTATCAGTGTTCATCTTCCATCCCCCTTTCATACCCGCAAGTTTTATTTTTTGTGGTTCCCCCCTCCCCCCCCCCGGGGTCGGGAGGGGGACGTCGTCGGGGACGATTAACCTCTAATTTCTATTTTCTGCCTGTTTTCCTCTCCCCTCAAGTCCTCTGCACGAGCTGTTGCCTTCAAGGGGCCCTTGGGGGATGAGGGAGAGGACTCACTCAGGGCTCGCCTCAGCTGTGTCCATCCTTCCTCTGGAAGGGAGGAGAGGGAGGGATTCAGGGGCCTCAAGCTGGGCTCTAGGTGAGGCCTGGCCCCCTCCCGACCTTGGCTCTAGACTGTTACTCCCAGCTTTGGGAAGTTTTCACATCGATGACTATTTTAAAATTAAAACTATTTTACTGATATGGCCCAATTTGTCTCTTAATGATTTTCCTGGTGCCATTCTTGAGCCTTCCCAGTTCTAGTCAAATTCTGCTCTTTGCTAGTGAGTCTCCCCTGCCCTTCTCTGCTTGGGATGTCCGTGGCCACAGAGCGTCAGGCAGTGAGAGAAGGTGCACCTCAAGTGACCTTGGCAGGGCCCCTGAGTCTCCCCTTGAGGTAGGTAGGGTCCAGCCCACCTGTGGAGGTGGGCTCTTTACCTCAGTTACGATTCTTACGGGGGGCCTGTGTAAGGTGTCGCCCCAGGACCCCAGGTCCTAGAAGTCCGAGACCTGAGCCTGACCTGTTAGATATTTGGGGCCAGTGGATGCTGCCTGGAACTTGGGCTGTGGGGTGGCACTGCCCCCTAGTGTCTAATAGTTCCAATTCCTCCCCTACTGCCAGCCCCCCAGGGACCACAGCCACACACCAGGTTGTAGAGTTAATAAAATCTCTTCCGAGCCAGCGGGTTGCAGCCAGAGCTGCCAACAAGTCCAGAGGCGTTGCCTTGGGTTCAAGTACCCCCGAGGCTGTTGCTCAGTCAGCTTCCAGAGCTTCCCACCACTGCCGGGAGCTACCAGAGCCCCAGCCACCCCCCACCCTCCCTCCCTCCCAGGCCCCAGGGCCTGACCCTGATATTTGGGACAAGGTGCTGGGGACATAGACAAAATGTAATGATGTGCAGAAGCCCAAGTGGAGAGTCACATCTCGGTCTCAGCCAACAGACTGTCACCGAGTCCTGAAGTCATGAGCACCATCTGAGAGCTGGGATCTGTGGAAGGGCAGAGGGGTGTTCAGACCGCCATTCATTCCACCAGGGACACAAATCTGGTGAGAGACAGCCTAGGTTTCCCACACCCACTCTCCCTGGTCCCGGGCCTCTTCCAGATCTGGCTCTGATCAACCCTTGGGGCTCTTACCACTGGGGCACATCCAGGAGCTGCTGCTCCTCTGGTGGGCAGCAGGCTCCCGCCCTCTCTCTCGTTCCTGGGTGTCGCCAGCCCCTCCCGCCACCTCCTCCTCCTCCTCTCCCTCTGAGAGGAGGTCACAGATCTGTTGCTGCAGCTCTGGGCTAATGCTGTTCTCAGCCAACACCAGGCTCCGCAAAGCCGTGGGGTAATTTTCTACCATGTCCAGCAGGGTCTGAGGTGGGGGAAGAATGCGGAAGAGGAGGAACACAGTTAAGGCGGCTTCACACTCCAGCCTGCCACCCCTTCAGTATGTCCACAGACACGTGAGCTCCCCTGCACCCCCACCTCTAGCCCATACCCAGACATGAAAACTTCTCACCTGAGCTGACTGGTTGGTGAGCCCTGTGCCCTCCAAGTCTAGGACTTCTAAGGTGCGGCTGGAGGCCACAGCTACAGCCAGCATCCCTGCCACATGGTCACCTGGGGAGGCAGCACACATACACAGTCACCTGCAGTCGTGAGCGGGCCTGCTAACCCTTCCTCCCCACTGCCTCCCCAGTGTCAGCAAATGCTGACAGTTGGTAGGTGGCCAATAGGGGGGCACTGTGGCCAGTGAACCGATGGAGCAAGCCAGGCCCAGGGGTGGTGATGGATACTTTGATGCACCTGTTGGTCATTTGGTCCTCCACATAAGCAGCTTCTCTGCTATCTTCCAGATCCCCCTTCCTTCCCCCCCCCCCACCGTGGTGGGGTTACCATGACAACCAAAGGGTCCTGAACTGGAGCTCTTGGATGGGGATGGGGTGGTGAGACTCGCACGGGGCTTCCTTGAGCCTCACCCAGGGGGTTGTAGTCCAGATTGAGGACGCGGACCTGGGAGCTGTGGGCCACAGCAATCGCGAGGCGGCTCCAGCCCTTAGGGGTGATGCCAGGGTTGGCACTCAGCGTTAGCTCCTTCAAGCCTGGGCAGAATCGAAGGGAGAAACCAGGATGGAGTCTGTTCCTCTTTAAGCCCCTCCCCTGCCCTGGATCTCTGGGGTTTCCCTGGTGGCAGAGAGCCACCCTACCCCCACCACAGAGCTCCAGGGCCATTAGAGACACATGCCTTCCTTGTCCACTGCAGCCTGGATGGCTGAGTCTCTGTTCTGCTGAGGCCCCAATCCATCTCCTTCCTGAGAGGATTTAAAACACATTCTCACCCACATTCAGAGCCCTCAGCTTTGGACCACACCCCCTGCTCTCTGCACCTGGTTTTTTCATCAAGGCCATACCAGCCCATGCCCTCAGCAGGGCCTCTCTCTCACCTGACTTGGCTCCATCTGGGGGGAGGAGGCCACAGATGAGGTTGATGGCTTCATCACCCAGCATGCAGTCCCCCAGGTCCAGAGCCACAAGGGCAGGGTGGAGGGCCAGGGCTGGGTTCAGCAAGGCCAGCCCTGCATCTGTCAGGGGACTCCCATGTAGGCTGAGGGGGTGAGACCAGAGAGCAAAGGTCACTGCAGTCATCAGCCCTATCTGTAAGGGAAGGATCCCCTTCCCTTATGTGAGCCCTAAAGGTGAGAAGGATACCTGTCATAGCACTTGGGAGAGGCCCTGGGGAGGGAGAAAGAAAATTCTAGATTCTAAAGGAATACAGGTAGAAGGGGAATTTGGCTTCTTTTCTAGGTTAGGGATTGAGATCCAGGACAGAGCACAGAGGAGTGTGGTGGGTTGGTGGGTTGGGATTCTTCAGTGGGCAAATGTAGGGGCAGGGGTCTAATCCCCAGGAGAGTTCCTTCTTGAGACCTGAGGAGCTGCTCCCAAGAAGTCAAGGCCGGTGATTAGGTGGGGAGGTACACGTGCCCTGCCAGAAAGGGGTGGGTATCCCATCGCATTTGGGGTGGGGCTGCGGGTGCAAAGCCCGGAGGTAAGGGATGTGCTAGGAGGGGGTCGTGGAGGCATGGGCAGAGGGATGGGGAGATGGTGTACAGGGGTGAGAAGACAGGCTGGTGCAGAGATAGCTACAGGAAGGTGTGTGGAGGAACAGGCGGTGGCAGGGGGCGTGTGAAGAGGGATGCAGTGCCCGGGACCCCCTTGCGAGGGAGCGCACTCACAAGAGGGACTGGATGGAGCGGTTGGTCCGCAGCGCCTCTGCCAGCTGCTTGATGCGGCTGGGACTGGACACGACGCCTAGGTTAAGGTTGAGCTGCGCCAGGGACGTGGCCCCGGCCAGGGCCCGGCAGATGCGGCCGAAGTCGCGGTCGCAGAGGCGGCAGCCGCGCAGTGAGAGCAGGCGCACGGCGTTGTCGCGCAGGCCGCGGCAGATGTCCCGCACCTCGGCGCCTGACAGCGGTTCCCCCGAAATCTGGATGGAGCTGGGCAGCATCGTACCCACGGCTGGGCCTCCGGGGCCGGGGCGCGGGCCGCGGCCGAGGTTGGCGGGGCCGAGGGCGGGGTCGCGGCTGGGGTCGGGGCCTGGGCTTGGGTCGCGGACGGAGCGGGGGCAGAGGCGGTGGCAGAGGTACAGGCGGCTGCGGCGGC